AAGATTTGGGACGATGCCTAGGTTTGTGGCCAAGGCAACTGGGAGAAGGGAAAAGACTGAGGAAGACAGCAAGTTCTGAAAGATCAAGAGTTTTGTTTGGATATAATAAATTTGAGGTGTCCACTGATGTCCAAGTGGAGACTGCAAATATGCAGGATGAAGCTAAGGAGAGCAGTGGGACTGCACGAGAGTCATCAGGATGTAGATGGGGTTTAAAGGAGATGGACTGGGTACGATCACGTAAGATCTACTATGAGGACAAAAGACTGAGTCCAGGGCAACCTACTATTTGGGGATCAGAAAGAGGAGGAAGAACCGGCAAGAGATACTTCTGGTGAGTGCTATGAGGCAGGAACAAAACCAGGAGAGGCTGGAATTCCAGAAGCCGAGTGGAGAGAACAGACAGCTATGTCGAATGCTGCTAAGAGGTGAGGCAATCAGAGGGCAGCAAACTGACCCCTGGATTTGGTACAGCAGCTTTAACAGAGAAAGCCTAGCAGGAACAGTTAAAGGAATCATTCAGGTGGAGGTTTTGGAGCAAGGTGACACAGTAACTCTACGATGGTACCTCCATCTATCATTTTACTTTCCGAGGCTTCGGTTACCCATAGTCAACTGCAATCTGAAAATATTAAATGGAAAATTCCAGAAGTAAACAGTTCCTAAGTTTTCAATTATGTGCAGCTCTGGGTACTGTGAGGAACCCTCTTGCTGTCCTGTTCCAAACCACCTGAGATACCTACACACTACAGGTATCACACTCCATCTAGATGAGCAGATCAACTACTCTGGTATCTCAGTGTGTGTGTTCAAGGAATCTTTATTTTACTTAATAATGGCACTACAGCACAGGCCAGCCAATGCTGGCAATTCAGATATGACAAAGAGAAGCCATAAAGTGCTTTATTTAAGTGAAAAAGTGAAAGTTCTCAACTTAATAGAGAAAATGTCTGGGAGCAGTGGCTCATGCCTGTAATTCCAAAACTTTGGGAGGCCAAGGCAGGTGGATCACTTGAGGTCAGGAGTTCGAGACCAGCCTGGCCAACATGGTGAAACCCTGTCTCTACTAAAAATACAAAAATTGACCAGGCACAGTGGTTCATGTCTGTAATTCCAGCACTTTGGGAGGCCAAGGCAGGCAGATCACCTGAGCCCAGGAGTTTGAGACCAGCCTGACGAACATGGCAAAACCCACGTCTCTGCTAAAAATACGAAAATTAACCAGGCATAGTGGTGGGCGCCTGTAGTCCTTGCTACTTGGGAGGCTGAGGCAGGCGAATCGCTTGAACCCAGGAGGTGGAGGTGCAGTGAGCTGAGATTACGCCACTGCATTCCAGCCAGGGCAACAGAGCAAGACTCCATCTCAAAAAAAATAATAAACAAGTAGGTTGGATGTGGTGGCTCATGTCTGTAATCCCAGCACTTTGAGACCAGCCTAACCAACATGAAGAAACCCCGTTTCTGCTAAAAACACAGAACTAGCCAGGCATGGTGGCGCATGCCTGTAATCCCAGCTACTGGGAAGGCTGAGGCAGGAGACACTTGAACCCGGGAGGTGGATGATGCGGTGAGCTGAGGTTGTGGTGAGCCCAGATCATGCCACTGTACTCCAGCCTGGGCAACAAGAGTGAAACTCCATTTCAAAAAAAAATTAAATAAATATACAAAAATTAGCCAGGTGTGGCGGCACATACTTGTATTCCCAAGCTACTCAAGAAACTAAGGCAAGAAAATCGATTGAACCTGGGAGACAGAGGTTGCAGTGAGCTGAGATCACATCACTGTACTTCCAGCCTGGGTAAGAGTGAGAATCCGTCTCAAAGGAAAACAAAAGCCTGGGCACAGTGCTTCACACCTGCAATCCCAACACTCTGGGAGGCTGACGCAGGTGGTTCACCTGAGGTCAGGAGTTTGAGACCAGCCTGGCCACTTTGGCAAAACCCCATCTCTACTAAAAATACAAAAATTAGCCGGGTGTGATGGTGGGCACCTGTAATCCCAGCTACTCAGGAGGCTGAGGCAGGAAAATCACTTAAACCCAGGAGGTGGAGGTTGCAGTGAACCGAGATCACACCATTGCACTTCAGCCTCAGTGATGAGTAAAACTGTATCAAAAAAAAAAAAAAAAATTAAAGAAAAAAGAAAGGAAAAAATTCACATGATGAGGTTGCTAAGATCTATGGTTCCAAGAGCAAATCTTGTATCCATGAAATTGTACAGAAGAAAAAAGAAATTCATGCTAGTTTTGCTGTCCTAGCTCAAAGTGAAAAAATTCTAGCCACAGTACATAACTTTTATTATTGTGTATTGTTACAATTTTTCTATTTTATTAGTTATTGCTGTTAATCTCTTATTGTGCCTAACTCATAAACTTTAGCAGAGGTATGGATGTATAGGAAATAACATAGTATATACATAAGGTTCAGTACAATCTGAAGTTTCAGGCCTCTACTGGGGGTCTTGGAAGGTATCCCCCAAGGGTAAAGTAGGGAGTCTGTACTCCAATGCACTTCACCAACTCCTACTTCTGGCCAAGATGGATGAACAGGGACCAAATTTACCCTCCTGCCTGAACAACCAAAACTCTGCACAAAATATACAGAACAAAAGTTTCTGGCCGGTTGTGATGACTCACTCCTATAATCCCAGCATTTTGGGAACCCAAGGCGGGAAGATCACTTGAGCCCAGGATTTTGACACCAGCCTAGGCAACACAGGGAGATTCCATCTCTACAAAACTTTTAAAAAAAAATTTTAGCTAGGTGTGGTGGTGCACATCTATAGTCCCAGCTACCTGGGGAGGCTGAGATGGGAGGATCACTTGAGCCAGGGAGGTTGAAGCTGCAGTAAGCCATGATCCCGCCACTGCTCTCCAGCATGGGTGATACAGCAAGACCCTGCCTCAATAGCAACAACAAAGAGCCAAAACACTAAAACCGCTGTTATGCTCTGGAGATACTTTGAAATACTGAGTAACTGTATACTTTATGGGAAAAAAATTAGAGTTCGGCTAAGGAAGAAAGCCATGGAAGAAGCAAATACAAGAGAGAAGAGGAAGGCTAATAAGGGCAACAGAGGGCAGGCCAAAAAATGCAATGGGCAAAAACCAAGGAGGGGCTTAACTTCCACAAAGAGGTATCAAGCATATTCAGCACTTCAGAGAAGTGGAGAGGAATAAAGTCTGAAAAAAAGCCATTGGATTGATTATAATTAGTTGGCCATTTATGAATTTTCAGAGAATGACAGTGAGAGACCTAATTCTCTAAGTGGTTAAAAAGCAGGCGACAAAGGGAGTGTGTAAACTGGAGAGAGGCTCCAAGATGGAAGTGGATGAAATCAAGGTTACCGGAAGGGTTCTTCACAGGCAGCGAGGTTATACACTCCATAAACAGAAATGAAGACAAAATTTCTAAAGTAAAAAGAGAAGCTGACAGAGTTCATATTATAATATGATCTCAAGCGCAGAGAAATTACTAAGAGTAATTTGCATTTCTTACACCGTATGCAAGGAGGTTGAAACGGGCAAATGGAGACTTGGAGGGTATAAAAGTACTACAGAAGGCTTTATACAGAGAGGTGAATGAAAGCCTATCAAGCAGTTGAGGTTTTTTTTTCTTTTTTATAGAGACAGGATCTTGCTATGTTGCCCTATCAAAGCGCTGGGATTACAGATGAGCCATTGTGTCAACCAGGCAGCTGAGTTTTGACTGTGACATCCACAAACTGTTACTTTCTTCACTAATGACCAGCAGATCCATAGATTTATGCAGGAATAGAGATCAGCATTACAAATGATGGAAGACCAGAGGGTACGACAGAACAGAAGAATCCGCTAGAAATTCAAGCCCTGCCAGATCCCCATGGTCACTGAATGAAGGCTGGAACTCCTTGAGAAATCTTCGAACAGATCTCACACTTCCTCCAAACAAAGCTGCATCTAAACCTGCTGAAGAGCTTGTTAAAACAAAACAGATTCAGTAAATCTGAGGTAGGTCTGAAATTATCCACTTCTAACAAGCTCCTGGTGATGCTGCAGACTACACTCTGAGTAGCAAAGTGTTAATCAAAAGTAACCATCCTAAGCTGGTTTAGTTTAATGGTGGCGCCTATGTCATTCTAGTACTTGTCAGTGGGTACTCCTCACTCTCCCGCAGTCCCTACTATTTTTACCATTTTTCTCCTGTCTCAGGCTTCGTTACTAATAATTTTTAAATTATATATAACAGCAGCTAAAGGCCAGGCGCGGTGTCTCAGGCCTGTAATCCCAGCACTTTGGGAGGCCGAGGCAGGCTGATCACCTGAGATCAGGAGTTCAAGACCAGCCTGATTAACATGGAGAAACCCCGTCTCTATTAAAAATACAAAAATTAGCCGGGTGTGCTGACGCGCGCCTGTAGTCCAGCTACTCGGGAGACTGAGGCAGGAGAATTGCTTGAACCCGGGAGGCGGAGGTTGCAGTGAGCCGAGATCACGCCACTGCACTCCAGCCTGGGTGATACAAGACTCCGCCACAAAAAAAAAAAAAAAAAAAATCAGAGTTGGAGGTTGCTTTGTGTCCAGTTTTTTTTTGTTAACTGTGTTAATTCACGGACTTGAAGTTTTAGAAAATTAACTACAACTAAATCCGAGCTATTCGGCTGAAAGCATTTACTCAAATTATGCTTAAAGTTTTCAGAGATGACCAAAGCCAAAAGAATTGAACGTTCGCCCGGGTCTCGCTTTTGCACTCGCTGTGCCCTCTCCGTAGGCCGCTCTCCGGGCCGAGCACCTCCCGGGAATCCGCGGAGCCAGAACGCGCAGGCAGCCGCCGGCGCTGGAGGGGGAGCCCGGCGCGCCCATAGGCCGGAGCCGCCGGAGCCGCCGCAGCGCTGCGAGCGCGGTCCCCGCCCGGAGTCACGCTTGCGGCCTCCCTGGCGTCGGCACCCATGGCACGCGAAAACCGCCGGGGCGAAACGCCCCGCCCCACCCGCCCAACAACACACTCAACTGCACGGACTCACGCCCGGGAGCCCCCGCCTGTCTCTCGAGGAAGACACCTGCCCAGGCCGGCCGCAGAAGACGTCGCGCAGCCCGCCGCCGCCCAGCGGTTCAGCGCGCGCGGGCCCGCCCGTGCTTCCTCATCGACTCGCTCGGCCGGCGGCTGCGTGTCCCTCCCGCGCGCGCCGCTGATTGGTCCGGTTGCGGGGCGGGGTTAGTGGCGGGGCCGGCCTCTGCGCGCAGGTTATTTAGGTCACGGATTTTCTTTTACTTTTCATCTGCGGAATTCCTTCTGCGAACGAAGTCGGGCCTGGCACCCAAATGTATAGAACGGATAGGAAACATTTTCTTAGTATTAATATATTTGTTAAGTTTGAATATGTAACATTCACCATGATAAGCAAGCATGATTTTTTTTTTTTCTTTTTATTGAGGCAAGAGCCTGTGTCGCCCGGGCTGGAGTGCAGTGGTGTGCTCTTGGCTCACTGCAACCTCTGCCTCCCGGGTTCAAGCGATCCTGCTGTCTCAGCCTCCCAAGTAGCTGGGACTACAGGCGCACGCCACCACACCAAGCTTGTTTGTGTCTTATAAAGAGACGGGGTTTCACCATGTTGGCCAGGCTGATCTCAAACTCCTGACCTCCGGTGGTCCGCCCGCCTCAGCCTCCCAAAGAGTTGGGATTACAGGCGTGAGCCAGTGGGCCTGGCCACAGCATAATTTTTTTAAACCAGGGATCCCAAATGACAATTGTAGTTCTACTCAGGGCGGGACAAGGGAAAGGTCTGCACACTATAGGGCAGTTGGAAATAGTAAGTTTAGTTTTTGTATTTAACTGGCCTTGCAATCTTGGGAAACTGTAAAGATGGTAAAATTTACAATCTTAACAATTTTTAAGGGTACAGTTCAGTGGCATTAAATTTATTCACATTGTTCCACAACCATCACCACCATCCGTCGCCAGCACTCGTCTTGCAAAACTGAAACTCTGTACCCAGTAAATGGCAACTCCTCATTCTTCCCCTCCCTCCTTCGCACCAACTGCCATTCTGTCTGTATGAATTTGACTACTCTAGGTGTTTCATACAAGGAATCATACAGCATTTGTCTTTTTGTGACCGATTTCACTTAGCATACTGTCCTCAAGGTTCATCCATGGTAATGTGTCAGAATTTCTTTTAAGGCTGCATAATATTCCATTTTATATATATACCAGTTTATCCAGTCATCTGTTAATGGATAACAGGTTGTTTCCACTTTTCGAAATAATACTATAAACATGGATATACAAATATCTGTTTTTTAACCCTTTTGGGTATATACACGATATTCAAATATCTGTTGCTTTCAACTCTTGAATATCTACACAGAAGTGGAATTCCTGCACCATTTTGCATTCCCACAGGAGTGCACAAGAGTTCCAATTTCCCCACATCTCTGCTGACATCTTTTTATATTTGTATAGTAACCATCTTAATAGGTGTGAGGTACCTCATTGTGGTCTTGATTTGCCTTTCCCTAATGATCAATGATGTTGAGCATGTTTTCATGTGTTTATAGGCCATGCCATTTGTATATCTTCATTGGAGAAATGTCTATTCAAGTCCTTTACCCAATTTTTTTTTTTTTTTTTTTTTTTTTTCCTGAGACAGAGGTTCGCTCTTGTTACCCAGGCTGGAGTGCAATGGCGCGATCTCGGCTCACCGCAACCTCCGTCTCCTGGGTTCAGGCAATTCTCCTGCCTCAGCCTCCTGAGTAGCTGGGATTACAGGCAAACGCCACCATGCCCAGCTAATTTTTTGTATTTTTAGTAGAGACGGGGTTTCACTATGTTGACCGGGGTGGTCTCGATCTCTTGACCTCGTGATCCACCTGCCTCGGCCTCCCAAAGTGCTGGGATTACAGGCATGAGCCACCGCGCCCCGCCCCTTACCCAATTTTTTTTTTTAAGAGACAGGGTCTTGCTTTGTCACCCAGGCTGAAGTGCAGTGTCATGATCATGGCTCACTACAGCCTTGAACTCCTGGCTTTGCCCATTTTTTAATGGGTTTTTGTTGCATTTTAGTTCTCTATATGTTCTGGATATTAATCACCTTATCGGATAGGATATGCAAATATCTTCTTCCACTTTTTATTTTATTTTTTTTTTTAGAGGCAGGGTCTCCGTGTGTTGCCCAGTCTGGTCTCAAACTCCTGGGCTCAGGTGATCCTGCCTCAGCCTTCCAAAGTGCTGGGATTACAGGCATCAGCCACCAAGCCTGGCCCCATCTTCTCCCTCTTAGTGGATTGACTTTTCACTCTGTTGTGTGCTTTGGCTTCTTACTATAAACCAAAAATAAAATTCTAAGCACCACCCCACAACCAACTGAATAGACCCATCCTCTCAGCCAAGGGCATTCTAAAGTAAACCTGAGGCCAGGTGCAGTGGCTCATGCCTGTAATCTCAGCACTTTGGGAGGCCAAGGCACAAGGTAATCACTTAAGGTCAGGTGTTCAAGACCAGCCTGGCCAACATAGTGAAACCCTGTCTCTACTAAAAACACAAACTTAGCCAGGTGTGGTGGTGGGTGTCGGTAATCCCAGCTATGTGGGAGGCTGTGGCAAGAGAATCGCTTGAACCTGGGAGGCAGAGGTTGCAGTGAGCCAAGATCTCACTACTGCGCTCCAGCCTGGACAACAGAGTGAGACTCTGTCTCAAAAATAAATAAATAAATAAATAAAAAGGAAACCTGAAACATTAGTTCAAGGCATAATGTGCTGAGAATGGGTGGCATGCCTCACTATACCCTTAGCCCTTTGGAATTCAGGCACAGCTGACCAGCATTAAAACAGAGATCTTGTGGCCGGGTGCGGTGGCTCAAGCCTGTAATCCCAGCACTTTGGGAGGCCGAGATGGGTGGATCACAAGGTCAAGAGATCGAGACCATCCTGGTCAACATGGTGAAACCCCGTCTCTACTAAAAATACAAAACATTAGCTGGGCATGGTGGTACATGCCTGTAATCCCAACTACTCAGGAGGCTGAGGCAGGAGAATTGCCTGAACCCAGGAGGCAGAGGTTGTGGTGAGCCAAGATCGCGCCATTGCACTCCAGCCTGGGTAACGAGAGCGAAACTCCATCTCGAAAAAAAAAACACAGAGATTTTGGCCAGGCGCAGTGGCTCACCTATAATCCCAGCACTTTGGGAGGCCATGGTGGGCAGATCACCTGAGGTCAGGAGTTTGAGACCAGCCTGGCCAACATGGTGAAACCCCATTTCTACTGAAAATATAAAAATTAACCAGACATGATGGCACGTGCCTGTAGTCCCAGCTACTCAGGAGGCTGAGGGAGGAGAATTGCTTGAACCTGGGAGGTGGGTGTTGCAGTAGCCAGGATCAGGCCATTACACTCCAGCCTGGATAACAGAGGGAGACTCTGTCTCAGAAAAAAAAAAAAAAAATCACAAAACCCAGACACCTTAACATTGACACACTTTGTAGCAATAAGACACCAACAAGGCCGGGCGCGGTGGCTCAAGCCTGCAATCCCAGCACTTTGGGAGGCCAAGGTGGGTGGATCACGAGATCGAGAGATCGAGACCATCCTGGTCAACATGGTGAAACCCCGTCTCTACTAAAAATACAAAAAATTAGCTGGGCATGGTGGCACGTGCCTGTAATCCCAGCCACTCAGGAGGCTGAGGCAGGAGAATTGCTTGAACCCAGGAGGCGGAGGTTGCGGTGAGCCGAGATTGTGCCATTGCACTCCAGCCTGGGTAACAAGAGCGAAACTCCGTCTCAAAAAAAAAAAAAAAAGACACCAATGTGACAGCAGGTCCATCCCCCCAACCCCACCTCTGAGTTGTCCCATCTTTCCAGACTAAACAATGTACATTTAACATGTATTGATTAATGTCTTATGCTCCCTAAAATGTATATAAAACCAAGCTGTAGCCCAAATACCTTGGGCACATCTTCTCAGGATCTCCTGAGGCTCTCATGGGCTGTGGTCACTCACATTTGGCTCAGAATAAATCTCTTCAAATACTTTTACAGAGTTTGACTCCATTGACATTACAAATTTTCTTTTTTTCTTTTTCTTTTTTTAAAAGACGGGGTTTCACCATGTTGGTCAGGCTGGTCTTGAACTCCCAACTTCAGGCGATCCGCCTGCCTTGGTCTCCAAAGTGCTTGAATTACAGGCATGAGCCACCACGCCCAGCCCACAATTTTTTTCTCTGCACTAGCAGACATTACAATTTTGGGGGAAAAAAAATTTTTAATATAATTTGGGGACAGATGTGGTGTCTCATGCCCGTAATGCTAGCATTTTGGATAGCTAAGATGGAAGGATTGTTAAGAGGTCAGGAGTTTGAGACCAGCATGGGCAACATAGTAAGACCCCCATCTCCATAAAAAAATTAGTCCCACATCGGGCCGGGTGCGGTGGCTCAAGCCTATAATCCCAGCACTTTGGGAGACCGAGGCGGGTGGATCACGAGGTCAAGAGATCGAGACCATCCTGGTCAGCATGGTGAAACCCCATCTCTACTAAAGTAAATACAAAAAATTAGCTGGGCATGGTGGCGCGTGCCTGTAATCCCAGCTACTCAGGAGGCTGAGGCAGGAGAATTGCCTGAACCCAGGAGGCGGAGGTTGTGGTTAACGCGCCATTGCACTCTAGCCTGGGTTACAAAAGTGAAACTCCGTCTCAAAAAAAAAAAAAAAAAAAAAAAAAAAAATTAGCCCCACATCATGGCATGTGCCTGTAGTCCTAACTACTCGGGAGGCTGAGTGAGGCAGGAGGATCACTTGAGCCCAGGAGTTCTAGGATACAGTAAGCAAGACTTTGTCAATACAACACAATGCAATAAATTTAAAAATTGAATTTTAAAAATAGAACTAGGCGGGGTGCGGTGGCTCACGCCTGTAATCCCAGCACTTTGGGAGGCCAAGGTGGGTGGATCCCCTGAGGTTGGGAGTTCAAGATCAGCCTGACCAACATGGGGAAGCCCCGTCTCTACTAAAAACACAAAATTAACCAGCCATGGTGATACATCCTGTAATCTCAACTACTCAGGAGGCTGAGTCAGGAGAATTGTTTGATCCCAGGAGACAGAGGTTGCAGTGAGCCAAGATCGTGCCATTGCATCCAGCCTGGGCAGCAAGAGCAAAACTCTGTCTCAAAAA